TCAAACCCTTACGTTCACTAGATGAATTTATTTCCTACCTTCTATTTGAATGAGACCACTAGATTCCGTGTACTATGCGAGATCTGAGCGCTTCCGTTCTCCCTGGCTTTTGCACTCTAAGTTCCCATACTGACCGACCTGGCCAATGCACCATTTTCCATATACATATGCATTAGATTCCTTTCGAACCTTATTAGCTCACTAGATTTATATATTTCCCACCTTCTGATCCAGTCAGACCGCTAGATTCCCTTTACTTTTTTAGAAATGAGCGTTTCCGTTCTCCTTGGCCCTACTTGCACTATAAGTGCGAAATGCCGGCCAGACTGACCGATGCACCATTTTCTCTACACATGTGCGTTAGTTACCTTTCAAACCCTTACGTTCACTAGATGAATTTATTTCCTACCTTCTATTTGAATGAGACCACTAGATTCCGTGTACTATGCGAGATCTGAGCGCTTCCGTTCTCCCTGGCTTTTGCACTCTAAGTTCCCATACTGACCGACCTGGCCAATGCGCCATTTTCCATATACATATGCATTAGATTCCTTTCGAACCTTATTAGCTCACTAGATTTATATATTTCCCACCTTCTGATCCAGTCAGACCGCTAGATTCCCTTTACTTTTTGAGAAATGAGCGTTTCCGTTCTCCTTGGCCCTACTTGCACTATAAGTGCGAAATGCCGGCCAGACTGGCCGATGCACAATTTTCTCTACACATGTGCGTTAGTTACCTTTCAAACCCTTACGTTCACTAGATGAATTTATTTCCTACCTTCTATTTGAGTGAGACCACTAGATTCCGTGTACTATGCGAGATCTGAGCGCTTCCGTTCTCCCTGGCATTTGCACTCTAAGTTCCCATACTGACCGACCAGGCCAATGCACCATTTTCCATATACATATGCATTAGATTCCTTTCGAACCTTATTAGCTCACTATAATTATATATTTCCCACCTTCTAATCGAGTGAGACCGTTAGATTCCCTCTACTTTTTGAGAAACGAGCGTTTCTGTTCTCCCTGGCCCCACCTGCACTATGAGTGCGAAATGCCGGCCAGATTGGCCGATGCACCATTTTCTCTACACATGTGCGTTAGTTACCTTTCAAACCCTTATGTTCACTAGTTGAATATATTTCCTACCTTATATTTCAGTGAGACCACTAGATTCCGTGTATTATGCGAGATCTGAGCAGTTCCGTTCTCCCAGGCATTTGCACTCTAAGTTCCCATACTGGCCGACCTGGCCAATGCACCACTTTCCATATACATATGCATTAGATTCCTTCCGAACCTTATTAGCTCACTAGATTTATATATTTCCCACCTTCTGATCGAGTGAGACGGCTAGATTCTCTTTACTTTTTGAGGAATGAGCGTTTCCGTTCTCCTTGGCCCTAGTTGCACTATAAGTGCGAAATACCGGCCAGACTAGCCGATGCACCATTTTCTCTACACATGTGCGTTAGTTACCTTTCAAACCCTTACATTCACTAGATGAATTTATTTCCTACCTTCTATTTGAATGAGACCACAACATTCCGTGTACTATGCGAGATCTGAGCGCTTCCGTTCTCCCTGGCTTTTGCACTCTAAGTTCCCATACTGACCGACCTGGCCAATGCACCATTTTCCATATACATATGCATTAGATTCCTTTCGAACCTTATTAGCTCACTAGATTTATATATTTCCCACCTTCTGATCCAGTCAGACCGCTAGATTCCCTTTACTTTTTGAGAAATGAGCGTTTCCGTTCTCCTTGGCCCTACTTGCACTATAAGTGCGAAATGCCGGCCAGACTGGCCGATGCACAATTTTCTCTACACATGTGCGTTAGTTACCTTTCAAACCCTTACGTTCACTAGATGAATTTATTTCCTACCTTCTATTTGAATGAGACCACTAGATTACGTCTACTATGCGAGATCTGAGCGCTTCCGTTCTCCCTGGCATTTGCACTCTAAGTTCCCATACTGACCGACCTGGCCAATGCACCATTTTCCACATACATATGCATTAGATTCCTTTCGAACCTTATTAGCTCACTAGATTTATATATTTCCCACCTTCTGATCGAGTCAGACCGCTAGATTCCCTTTACTTTTTGAGAAATGAGCGTTTCCGTTCTTCTTGGCCCTACTTGCACTATAAGTGCGAAATGCCGGCCAGACTGGCCGATGCACAATTTTCTCTACACATGTGCGTTAGTTACCTTTCAAACCCTTACGTTCACTAGATGAATATATTTCCTACTTTCTATTTGAGTCAGACCACTTGATTCCGTGTACTATGCGAGATCTGAGCACTTCCGTTCTCCCTAGCATTTTCATTTTAAGTTCCGATACAGACCGACCTGGCCAATGCACCATTTTCTCTATACATGTGCGTTGAATACATTTCAAACATTTTTAGCTGACTAGATTTATATATTTCCCACCTTCTGATCGAGTGAGACCGCTAGATTCCCTCTACTTTTTGAGAAAGGAGCGTTTCCGTTCTCCCTGGCCCCACCTGCACTATGAGTGCGAAATGCTGGCTAGACTGACCGATGCACCATTTTCTCTACACATGTGCATTAGTTACCTTTCAAACCTTAACGTTCACTAGATGAATATATTTCCTACCTTATATTTCAGTGAGACCACTAGATTCCGTGTATTATGCGAGATCTGAGCGGTTCCGTTCTCCCAGGCATTTGCACTCTAAGTTCCCATACTGACCGACCTGGCCAATGCACCACTTTCCATATACATATGCATTAGATTCCTTCCAAACCTTATTAGCTCACTAGATTTATATATTTCCCACCTTCTGATCGAGTGAGACCGCTAGATTTCCGAAATGAGCGTTTCCGTTCTCCTTGGCCCTACTTGCACTATAAGTGCGAAATGCCGGCCAGACTGGCCGATGCACCATTTTCTCTACACATGTGCGTTAGTTACCTTTCAAACCCTTACGTTCACTAGATGAATCTATTTCCCACCTTCTATTTGAGTGAGACCACTAGATTCCGTTTACTATGCGAGATCTGAGCGCTTTCGTTCTCCCTGGCATTTGCACTCTAAGTTCCCATACTGACCGACCTGGCCAATGCACCATTTTCCATATACATATGCATTAGATTCCTTTCAAACCTTATTAGCTCACTAGATTTATATATTTTCCACCTTCTGATCGAGTGAGACCGCTAGATTTTCTCTACTTTTTGAGAAATGAGCGTTTCCGTTCTTCTTGGCCCTACTTGCACTATAAGTGCGAAATGCCGGCCAGACTGGCCGATGCACCATTTTCTCTACACATGTGCGTTAGTTACCTTTCAAACCCTTACGTTTACTAGATAAATTTATTTCCTCCGTTCTATTTGAGTGAGACCACTAGATTCCGTGTACTATGCGAGATCTGAGCGCTTCCGTTCTCCCAGGCATTTGCACTCTAAGTTCCCATACTGACCGACTTGGCCAATGCACCATTTTCTATATACATATGCATTAGATTCCTTTCGAACCTTTTTAGCTCACCAGATTCATATATTTCCCACCTTCTGATCGAGTGAGACCGCTAGATTCCCTCTACTTTTTTAGAAATGAGCATTTCCGTTCTCCTTGGCCCTAGTTGCACTATAAGTGCGAAATGCCGGCCAGACTCGCCGATGCACAATTTTCTCTACACATGTGCGTTAGTTACCTTTCAAACCCTTACGTTCACTAGACGAATATATTTCCTACTTTCTATTTGAGTGAGACCACTTGATTCCGTGTACTATGCCAGATCTGAGCGCTTCCGTTCTCCCTGGCATTTGCATTTTAAGTTCCGATACCAATTGACCTGGCCAATGCACCATTTTCTCTATACATGTGCGTTGAATACATTTCAAACCATTTTAGCTGACTAGATTTATATATTTCCCACCTTCTGATCGAGTGAGACTGTTAGATTCCCTCTCCTTTTTGAGAAACGAGCGTTTCCGTTCTCCCTGGCCCCACCTGCACTATGAGTGCGAAATGCCGGCCAGACTGGCCGATGCACCATTTTCTCTACACATGTGCATTAGTTACCTTTCAAACCCTTACGTTCACTAGATGAATATATTTCCTACCTTATATTTGAGTGAGACCACTAGATTCCGTGTATTATGCGAGATCTGAGCGGTTCCGTTCTCCCAGGCATTTGCACTCTAAGTTCCCATACTGACCGACCTGGCCAATGCACCACTTTCCATATACATATGTCAGAGTATTATAACTGATGCATGTTTGTAGGCTATAGTGGGGTAGCACATATGGGGTACAGCTTTCTAGGGTTGTATTTGTACCCAACTCTGACTTAGTCATTTCATTCCTGCTTACTCATTTACACATGGTATAGAGCTAGGTCCCTCCAGGACCGAAATTTTTTTTTGGGCCCACCGAAGCGCGCCCCCCGAGGCGCGAATTTTTTTAGCGACCCCTCGAGTCGCCCTCTCCCCTGCGGCCTCGCCGCCCACTCTGTCGCGGCCCCGCCCTGCTCCTTACGTGGCCCCGCGTCGCCTCCTACGCGGCCCTTACGCGGCCCCGCGCCGGCCCCTCACGCGGCCCTTACGCGGCCCTTACGCGGCCACGCCGCCGGCTCCTTACGCGGCCCCGCGCCGGCCCCTTACGCGGCCCTTACGCGGCCCTTACGCGGCCACGCCGCCAGCTCCTACGCGGCTCCGCGCCGGCTCCTACGCGGCTCTTACGCGGCCCCGCCCCGCCCCCCCCCCCCCCCCTTACGCGGCCCTGACGCGGCCACACCGCCGGCTCCTACGCGGCCCCGCGCCGGCTCTCACGCGGCCCCGCAGCTGGCTCCTACTCGGCCCCGCAGCCGGCCCCTTAAGCGGCCCCACCGCCGGCCTCCTACTCGGCCCTGCCCCGGCTCCTATCACGGCCCTGCCCCGGCTCCTTCGCGGCCCTGCCCCGGCCCCTACGCGGCCCTACCGCCGGCCCTGACGCGGCCCCGCCCCGTCTCACTTCTATGCGACCCGAGCCGCCTGTCGCCGAGCAGCCAGGGACCCGAGCCGCCCTGCAGCCGAGCCGCCCGGGAGCCGAGCCGCCCTGCACCCGAGCCGCCCTGCAGCCGAGCCGCCCGGGAGCCGAGCCGCCCTGCACCCGAGCCGCCCTGCCGTCGAGCCACCCGGGAGCCGATCCGCTGTACACCCGAGCCGCCTGGTCGCCGTTCTGCTTTTCTGTCGAGCTGCGCGACCTGCCCTGCCTGGTGAGCACAGTCCCACTGTCACTGCGTGCTCTCCCCCCTACTGCTTGCACTGCTTCACAGTCGTCGTCATGGCTACCCCTAGTGTCCTAGCTTTTGACGCTGAGGGTCGCGCCATTGATTTTGAGGTCTGGCTAGACGACCTGCAGCTGTTCTTACAGTGCGACAGGGCTGATGACCTTTCTCTCTTTGACCTCACCTCTGGCGCCTCTCCTGCTCCTGCTGCTGATGCTGATCCCGCTGTCCGCTCTAAGTGGGCCACCCGCGATGCTGCTGCACGTCTTGCTGTGCGTCGCCACCTCCCTACCTCTGAGCGTGCGCACTTTAGTCAGTACAAGAGTGCTCAGACCTTGTACGACGCTGTAGTTGCGCGCTACTCCTCCCCTGCCACTGCTGCACTGAGCCGTCTCATGCTTCCCTACCTCTTTCCTGACCTCTCTGCCTTTCCCACTGTCGCTGACCTCATTACGCACCTCCGCACTAGTGACACTCGCTACCGCGCCGCCCTTCCTGCTGAGTTCTGCGCTAGGAACCCCCCTCCCATGTACATCGCTCTCTACTACGTAGTCGCACGCCTCCCTGACTCCCTTCGCGTCGTCAGGGACCATTTTCTCGCAGTCTGTCCCACCACTCTCACCGTCGACTTCCTCGAGAAGGCCCTCCTTGCAGCGGAGAAGAGCATAGTCGCTGTAGGTGCTTCTCGTGGTGACCCTCGCACCCCCATCTTTGAGGGGTGCTCTCCTTCCCCCTTGCTGCCCTCTGTTGCCTCTGCTGCTGCTGCCGACCTGCTTGGTCTTGAGTCGGTCGGCGCGGCGTCTGCCCCTAGTGGGAGACGTCGCTCCAGCAAGGGCAAGGGAGGCAAGGGCGCGGGTGGAGCTGGGGGGGGCGGTGGCGGTGGCGGCGGTGGCGGCGGAGGGAGTGGGGGTGGCGGCGGGACTAGTGGCGGGGGTGGTGGTGGTGGTGGTGGCAGCAGCGGCGGAGACGGTGGTGGTGGTGCCAGCGGTGGTGGTGGAGGCAGCGGCGGGGGTGGAGGCGGCGGAGGTGGAGGCAGTGGAGGCGGCAGCGGCGGAGGCAGTAGTGGTGGAGGAGGTGGAGCTGGTCGGGGTGGTACCCAGCAGCGTAGCGGCGGTGGTGGTGGCCAGCGCTCGCACCGGCAGCAGCAGCAGCGCTCACGGGACATCCCTTCGCCTCAGCAGCTTCGTGAGTGGTACGCTGGGCGTCAGAGGGGTGGGGGTACTGGTCCCTGCACCTACGTTCTTCGTTCCGGCGACCGCGCGGGTGAGCAGTGTGGGGGTGCCCACGCCACCCAGCGCTGCTTTGGCCGCCTGACGGACGCTTGGCGTCAGCAGTTCCCTGGGGCTAGTGAGATCCCTCGCTGGGATGAGCTTCTCAGGGCTGGTGTAGCGATCTTTGATCTTGATTTTGATGCTATCCTTACTGCTATGTATGTTGTGGATTATAGTGAGGAGAATGAGGGTTACCGGTGTTTCCAGCCCGACCCGGGCATTGGTACTGCTGCGCTAGGTACTTGTGAGGCTGCTGCTCTAGGTGCCAGTGCGTCTGCGCTCTCAGGTACTGGTGAGAGTGCGTTCTCAGGTACTGAGTCGTCCTCGTCCTCCCTCACTTTCACACTTGACTCCGGAGCTTCTCGCTCCTTCTTTCGAGACCGCACTACCCTTTCGCCGCTCGCCAGGCCGGTTGCGGTCTCCCTTGCTGACCCCTCTGGGGGTCCTGTCCTGTCTCACTTCTCCACTGTCCTCCCGTGTCCGGCTGCCCCTTCGGGCACCCTGTCGGGTCTGTACCTTCCCTCGTTCTCTACGAACTTGGTGAGTGGAGCGGACCTGCAGGATGGGGGTGTTCACCAGTTCACTCCTGCGCGTCAGCGGGTGACCCAATGCACGGAGGCTCGCACAGGCCGACACCTGGCCACGTTCTCGCGTCGGCCGGGGTCGAGTCTCTACACCCTGACCGTTGAGTCTCCTCCTGTCCCTGCGTCTGGTCAGGTAGTTGCGTCGGGTCAGGTACTTGCTGCTGCGTCCCGGTCAGGTCCTGAGTCTGCCCCCTGTTCTTGTCGCCTCCTATCTCACGAGACTCTCCTGTGGCACCACCGTCTTGGCCACCCCTCCTTGCCCCGTCTTCGGAGCATGGCTTCCCGTGTCCTTGTCTCTGGTCTTCCCCAGTCTCTCCCTCCTCTCCCCTCCGGGCCAGGACCTTCCTGTGTCCCCTGTGTCGAGGGTCGCCTCCGGGCTACTCCTCACTCCTCCCACTTCCCCCCGACAGAGGCTCCCCTGCAGACGCTTCACATGGATGTGTGGGGCCCAGCCCCCGTCCGTGGGCAGGGTTACGAGCGATACTTCCTGTTGGTGGTTGACGACTACTCGCGTTACACCACAGTCCTCCCCTTGCGCAGCAAGGGTGCGGTCACTGAGGTGCTGATCGACTGGATCCGCGAGGCTCGTCTCCAGCTCAGGAAGAGCTTCGGCTCGGACTTTCCTGTTCTGCGTCTGCACTCTGACAGAGGCGGAGAGTTCTCTTCTCGCCTTCTGCGAGACTACTGTCGTGCACGGGGGATCCGCCAGACCTTCACGCTTTCGGACTCACCACAGCAAAATGGGATTGCTGAGCGCCGCATTGGCATGGTCATGGATGTCGCTCGTACGTCCATGATGCATGCGGCTGCCCCCCATTTTCTGTGGCCGTTTGCGGTGAGGTACGCGGCGCATCAGCTCAACCTTCACCCCCGGGTCTCTCGGCCTGCGATGTCCCCAGCCTTGCTGTGGACGGGGGAGGTTGGCGATGCGTCTGTGTTCCGTGTCTGGGGATCTCGGGCGTTTGTCCGCGACTTGTCTGCGGACAAGCTGTCCCCTCGTGCTGCTCCCTGTGTCTTCCTTGGCTTCCCCACTGACGCCCCAGGGTGGCAGTTTTACCACCCCTCCTCTCGTCGTGTTCTGTCCTCCCAGGACGTCACGTTCGACGAGTCAGTCCCCTTCTACCGTCTCTTCCCCTACCGCACTCCTTCCCTCCCCCCTCCCCCGGACTTCCTTGTGCCGGTTCCCCCCCCGGTAGACCCCCTCCCCCCTCAGGTTCCTGCCCCCTCAGGTGTGTCCCAGGTAGACGCCGTTGACCCGGTCGAGGTTACTGGTGACTCTGGTCCTGCTGCGGGTGCTGAGCCTGGGGGTGCTGACTCTGGGGGTACTGTGTGCGGGGGTGCAGACCTGCGGGTCCTCCTGGAGCTGGAGCTGCTGAGGGCGTTCTTGCTGAGCTTGCTGCTGTTGGTCCTGCCGCTGGAGGTGTGGGTGGCGCTGGTGCTGTCGCTGAGGGTGCTGGTGCTGTCCCTGCTGAGACTGGAGCTGCCGCGCGGCCTCGGCCGTACTTCGTTCCGCTCCTTCAGCAGGTTCTTGGTCTTTCTCCTCCAGTAGAGGGTCCACCGCCTGTCCAGTCGCAGTCCCTACTGGAGCCTTCCTCTCCTCTGCCTGCTCCCTCTCCTTACACTGGTCCTACTGGAGGTCTTGCTGAGCGTCGTGAGCCTGCGTCTCGCCCCGCGTCGCCTGTTCGTGCTGCTCGCGCTAGTGGTCGCAGTTCGCGTCAGCGTCCTCCTCCTGTCCCTGGCACGCACCGGATGTCTCTGCGTCCGTCCACTGCTCCTCTGCGTGCCCCTTTGCCTTCTCCTCCTGAGTCCTCTCTTCCTGCGCTTGCCGACCCTGAGTCGGACTCTCTTCGCGCTGCGAGTCCTACTGTCACGCGTCTGCTTGCTACTGTCGTCACTGACCCCTCTTTTGAGTCCACTGCTGCGTCTGCTCTCGACTACGCTGCTAGTCTTGTTGCTGAGCCTGCGTCTGTCTGTCCTCCGTCCGTCGGGGGTGAGTGTGCTCTTGGCACGGACGTCCTAGAGGACAGGCAGGAGGAGTTACAGTGTCTAGCGGCTGCTTCACCTCATCTCGCGTCTGTACTGCTTGCCCCTGAGGGAGATCCGGATGCACTAGACATCCCGACTCCGCGTTCTTACGCGGAGGCCGTAGAGGGCCCCTACTCCTCTCATTGGCAGGCAGCCATGGATGCAGAGATGGCTTCCTGGAAGTCCACAGGCACCTACGTTGACGCGGTTCCCCCTCCTGGGGCGAACATAGTCAGTGGCATGTGGATCTTCAGGGTGAAGCGGCCGCCGGGCTCTCCACCTGTCTTCAAGGCACGGTACGTTGCTCGTGGCTTCAGTCAGCGGCAGGGAGTTGACTACTTTCAGACCTTCTCTCCCACCCCGAAGATGACTACTCTTCGGGTGCTGCTGCACATAGCCGCTCAGCGCGACTACGAGCTTCACTCTCTCGACTTCAGCACTGCGTTCTTGCAGGGTAGCCTGCACGAGGAGATCTGGCTTCGCCGTCCACCTGGCTTCACTGGGACTTTCCCTCCTAGCACCCAGTGGAGCCTCAGACGGCCAGTCTACGGTCTCCGCCAGGCACCGCGTGAGTGGCACGACACACTGAGGACTACGCTTGCGGCTCTTGGGTTTGCTCCTTCTACTGCTGACCCGTCGCTGTTTCTTCGCACCGACACTTCCCTGCCGCCGTTCTACATCCTCGTGTACGTCGACGACTTGGTCTTTGCCACAGCGGACACTGCTGGACTCGCCTACGTGAAGTCCGAGCTGCTGAAGAGACACACGTGCACAGACGTGGGTGAACTGCGCAGCTACCTTGGCTTGCAGATCACTCGGGACAGAGCACGCCGCACCATTACCTTGACTCAGTCACACATGGTGCAGCAGGTCCTTCAGCGCTTCGGCTTCACGTACTCCTCGCCTCAGGCCACTCCTCTGCCTACTTGCCACTCACTCTCAGCTCTGCCTTCGGATGAGTCCGTAGAGTCGAGTGGTCTGTATGCAGAGCTTGTTGGCTGCCTCATGTACCTGATGACCTGCACACGACCTGACCTTGCATACCCTCTGAGCATTCTTGCACGCTATGTTGCTCCTGGGAGACACAGACCGGAGCAAATGGCTGCAGCGAAGAGGGTATTGCGCTACCTGTGCAGTACGTCAGGCATGGGGCTAGTGCTTGGAGGGCGGAGTCCAGTGGTCCTTACCGGCCACGCGGACGCTTCTTGGGCTGACGACCAGGCTACGCAGCGGTCGTCACAGGGTTACACCTTCAGCCTTGGTTCCGGCTCTGTCTCGTGGCGGTCTACTCGCTCGTCTTCGGTTCTCGGCTCCAGTTGTGAGGCTGAGATCTACGCCGGGGCCATGGCTGCACAGGAGCTTCGCTGGCTCACCTACCTGCTGACTGACCTTGGAGAGCCGCCTCGTTCTCCTCCAGTGCTGTACGTAGACAACAAGGCTATGCTGGCCTTGTGTCGAGAGCAGCGCTTGGAGCACAGAACGAAGCACATTGCTCTCCGCTACTTCCTTGCTCGTGAGTTGCAGCAGCGTGGTCAGTTGCGACTTGCGTACGTGGCCTCTGAGGCCAACACTGCTGATGTGTTCACCAAGGCACTCGCGCCTTGTGACCATCAGCGCTTTTGCACCCAGCTGGGTCTTGTGCCTGTCTTGCCTCACTTGCTCTCCTCTTGACTTCACTTGTACTGTGACATATATATATACCTGCTCTTGCTTGTCTAGTTTTATATATATGTCTGTCCTCCTGCATGTGAACTGGCCTCTGGCCCTGCTCTTGTGCTCGGACTGTGTGGTGACTTTGTGATCCACCCTGAGCTTGCTTTGCTTTGCTTTGCTTGACTGGTCTTGTGACCCCTTGTTCTCCCCCACTTTGCCTATGGGGGTGTGTCAGAGTATTATAACTGATGCATGTTTGTAAGCTATAGTGGGGTAGCACATATGGGGTACAGCTTTCTAGGGTTCTATTTGTACCCAACTCTGACTTAGTCATTTCATTCCTGCTTACTCATTTACACAACATATGCATTAGATTCCTTTCGAACCTTATTAGCTCACAAGATTTATATATTTCCCACCTTCTGATCGAGTGAGACCGCTAGATTCCCTTTACTTTTTGAGAAATGAGCGTTTCCGTTCCCCTTGGCCCTACTTGCACTATAAGTGCGAAATGCTGGCCAGACTGGCCGATGCACCATTTTCTCTACACATGTGCGTTAGTTACCTTTCAAACCCTTACGTTCACTAGATGAATTTATTTCCTACCTTCTATTTGAGTGAGACCACTAGATTCCGTGTACTATGCGAGATATGAGCGCTTCCGTTCTCGAAGGCATTTGCACTCTAAGTTCCCATACTGACCGACCTGGCCAATGCACCATTTTCCATATACATATGCATTAGATTCCTTTCGAACCTTATTAGCTCACTAGATTTATATATTTCCCAGCTTCTGATCGAGTGAGACCGCTAGATTCCCTCTACTTTTTGAGAAATGAGCGTTTCCGTTCTCCTTGGCCCTAGTTGCACTATAAGTGCGAAATGCCGGCCAGACTGGCCGATGCACCATTTTCTCTACACATGTGTGTTAGTTACCTTTCAAACCCTTACGTTCACTAGATGAATATATTTCCTACTTTCTATTTGAGTGAGACCACTTGATTCCGTGTACTATGCGAGATCTGAGCGCTTCCGTTCTCCCTGGCATTTGCATTTTAAGTTCCGATACTGACCGACCTGGCCAATGCACCATTTTCTCTATACATGTGCGTTGAATACACTTCAAACCTTTTTAGCTGACTAGATTTATATATTTCCCACCTTCTGATCGAGTGAGACCGTTAGATTCCCTCTACTTTTTGAGAAACAAGCGTTTCCGTTCTCCCTGGCCCCACCTGCACTATGAGTGCGAAATGCCGGCCAGACTCGCCGATGCACCATTTTCTCTACACATGTGCGTTAGTTACCTTTTAAACCCTTACGTTCACTAGATGAATATATTTCCTACCTTATATTTGAATAAGACCACTAGATTCCGTGTATTATGCGAGATCTGAGCGGTTCCGTTCTCCCAGGCATTTGCACTCTAAGTTCCCATACTGACCGACCTGGCCAATTCACCACTTTCCATATACATATGCATTAGATTCCTTCTGAACCTTATTAGCTCACTAGATTTAAATATTTCCCACCTTCTGATCGAGTGAGACCGCTAGATTCCCTTTACTTTTTTAGAAATGAGCGTTTCCGTTCTCCTTGGCCCTACTTGCACTATAAGTGCGAAATGCCGGCCAGACTGGCCGATGCACCATTTTCTCTACACATGTGCATTAGTTACCTTTCAAACCCTTACGTTCACTAGATTAATCTATTTCCCACCTTCTATTTGAGTGAGACCACTAGATTCCGTGTACTATGCGAGATCTGAGCGCTTCCGTTCTCCCTGGCATTTGCACTCTAAGTTCCCATACTGACCGACCTGGCCAATGCACCACTTTCCATATACATATGCATTAGATTCCTTGTGAACCTTATAAGCTCACTAGACTTATATATTTTCCACCTTGTGATCGAGTGAGACCGCTAGATTCCCTTTACTTTTTGAGAAATGAGCGTTTCCTTTCTCCTTGGCCCTACTTGCACTATAAGTGCGAAATGCCAGCCAGACTGGCCGATGCACAATTTTCTCTACACATGTGCGTTAGTTACCTTTCAAACCCTTATGTTTACTAGATGAATATACTTCTTAATTTCTACTTGAGTGAGACCACTTGATTCCGTGTACTATGCGAGATCTGAGCGCTTCCGTTCTCCTTGGCATTTGCATTTTAAGTTCCGATACTGACCGACCTGGCCAATGCACCACTTTCCATATACATATGAATTAGATTCCTTCTGAACCTTATTAGCTCACTAGATTTATATATTTCCCACCTTTTGATCGAGTGAGACCACTAGATTCCCTTTACTTTTTGAGAAATAAGTGTTTCCGTTCTCCTTGGCCCTACTTGCACTATAAGTGCGAAATGCCGGCCAGACTAGCCGATGCACCATTTTCTCTACACATGTGCGTTAGTTACTTTTCAAACCCTTACGTTCACTAGATGAATTTATTACCTACCTTTTATTTGAGTGAGACCACTAGATTCTGTGTACTATGCAAGACCTGAGGGCTTCCGTTCTCCCTGACATTTGCACTCTACGTTCCCATACCGACCGACCTGGCCAATGCACCATTTTCCATATCCATATGCATTAGATTCCTTTCGAACCTTATTAGCTCACTAGATTTTTATATTTCCCACCTTTTGATCAAGTGAGACCGCTAGATTCCCTTTACTTTTTGAGAAATGAGCGTTTCCGTTCTCCTTGGCCCTACTTGCACTATAAGTGCGAAATGCCGGCCAGACTGGCCGATGCACCATTTTCTCTACACATGTGCGTTAGTTACCTTTCAAACCCTTACATTCACTAGATGAATTTATTTCCTACCTTCTATTTGAGTGAGACCACTAGATTCCGTGTACTATGCGAGATCTGAGCGCTTCCGTTCTCCCTGGCATTTGCACTCTAAGTTCCCATACTGACCGACCTGGCCAATGCACCATTTTCCATATACATTTGCATTAGATTCCTTTCGAACCTTGTTAGCTCACTAGATTTATATATTTCCCACCTTCTGATCGAGTGAGACCGCTAGATTCCCTCTACTTTTAGAGAAATGAGCGTTTCCGTTCTCCTTGGCCCTAGTTGCACTATAAGTGCGAAATGCCGGCCAGACTGGCCGATGCACCATTTTCTCTACACATGTGCGTTAGTTACCTTTCAAACCCTTACGTTCACTAGATGAATATATTTCTTACTTTCTATTTGAGTGAGACCACTTGATTCCGTGTACTATGCGAGATCTGAGCGCTTCCGTTCTCCCTGGCATTTGCATTTTAAGTTCCGATACTGACCGACCTGGCCGATGCACCATTTTCTCTATACATGTGCGTTGAATACATTTCAAACCTTGTTAGCTGACTAGATTTATATATTTCCCACCTTTTGATCGAGTGAGACCGTTAGATTCCCTCTACTTTTTGAGAAACGAGCGTTTCCGTTCTCCCTGGCCCCACCTGCACTATGAGTGCGAAATGCCGGCCAGACTGGCCGATGAACCATTTTCTCTACACATGTGCGTTAGTTACCTTTCAAACCCTTACGTTCACTAGATGAATATATTTCCTACCTTCTATTTGAGTGAGACCACTAGATTTCGTGAATTATGCGAGATCTGAGCGGTTCCGTTCTCCCAGGCATTTGCACTCTAAGTTCCCATACTGACCGACCTGGCCAATGCACCACTTTCCATATACATATGCATTAGATTCCTTCCGAACCTTATTAGCTCACTAGATTTATATATTTCCCACCTTCTGATCGAGTGAGACCGCTAGATTCCCTTTACTTTTTTGAGAAATGAGCGTTTCCGTTCTCCTTGGCCCTACTTGGACTATAAGTGCGAAATGCCGGCCAGACTGGCCGATGCACCATTTTCTCTACACATGTGCGTTAGTTACCTTTCAAACCCTTACGATCACTAGATGAATTTATTTCCTACCTTCTATTTGAGTGATACCACTAGATTCCATGTACTATGCGAGATCTGAGCGCTTCTGTTCTCCCTGGCAATTGCACTCTAAGTTTCCATACTGACCGACCTGGCCAATGCACCATTTTCCATATACATGTGCATTAGATTCCTTTCAAACCTTATTAGCTCACTAGATTTATATATCTCCCACCTTTCTGGTCGAGTGAGACCGTTATATTCCCTCTACTTTTTGAGAAACGAGCGTTTCCGTTCTCCGTGGCCCCTCCTGCACTATGAGTGCGAAATGCCGGCCAGACTGGCCGATGCACCATTTTCTCTACACATGTGCGTTAGTTACCTTTCAAACCCTTACGTTCACTAGATGAATATATTTCCTACATTCTATTTGAGTGGGACCACTAGATTCCGTGTACTATGTAGAACCTCAGCGCTTCCGTTCTCCGTGACATTTGCACTCTACGTTCCCATACCGGCCGACCTGGCCAGTGCACCATTTTCCATATACATATGCATTAGATTCCTTTCGAACCTTATTAGCTCACTAGATTTATATATTTCCCACCATCTGATCGAGTGAGACTGCTAGATTCCCTTTACTTTTTGGGAAATGAGCGTTTCCGTTCTCCTTGGCCCTACTTGCACTAAAAGTGCGAAATGCCGGTCAGACTGGCCGATGCACAATTTTCTCTACACATGTGCGTTAGTTACCTTTCAAACCCTTACGTTCACTATATGAATATATTTCCTACTTTCTATTTGAGTGAGACCACTTGATTCCGTGTACTATGCGAGATCCGAGCGCTTCCGTTCTCCATGGCATTTGCATTTTAAGTTCCGATACTGACTGACCTGGCCAATGCACCATTTTCTCTATACATGTGCGTTGAATACATTTCAAACCTTTCTAGCTGACTAGATTTATATATTTCCCACCTTCTGATCGAGTGAGACTGTTAGATTCCCTCTACTTTTTGAGAAACAAGTGTTTCCGTTCTCCGTGGCCCCACCTGCACTATGAGTGCGAAATGCCGGCCAGACTGGCCGATGCACCATTTTCTCTACACATGTGCGTTAGTTA